ACAAATTTTTTTTTTTCCTAATTCTCTCCCCCATCCCACTGCAGGGGGCAGGTAGTGAGCAAACGGCTGTGTGGTGTTTAGCTGCCTGCCGGGTTAAACCACAACAGTATGCTATCTGAAATCACTCTGCTTTGATAACAAACAGACTTTTGCATGTCTAACATTAGATGTACTTGACGCCTCCAGAAACAAATAATGGACCTGTGTTGATCTAATTGTTCTTTCAGGGATTTTAGGAACAGGTGCATGCTTTTCTATACCATTAGGTTTGCAGATCCATAGCTATAACCATGGTAACTTAATATTTACGGGTATTTGAAGTTGTTAATGACAAAAACTAGTTATATGAAATGTTATGATATAAAGAACAGGTAAAAAAATAATAAGATTTATCCTAGAAAATGCATCCTGGTGATCCAAAATTCACAGTGTATTGCATTTATCTTGATTATACATTTTATTCAACTATTCTTTAAATAACTTAAAGTGGGCAATAGCTGTATCTGAAACAAGTTATATATGCTGTGAACATCCCTTCAGTTTATCTCAGAGAAACAGGTTGAGAATTTGTCACCTTATACCTATCACACTCAAGAGTGTTTGATTGCTGTTACGTCTGGTCTGTCTAAGGCCATAAAAAAACCCTCTACATAAAATGTCTGTTTAATATTTTTGCATATTTTAACTCGCAACCTGAAGTAGAAAGTAAGGTTTAGTGAATGATGCATTCTTCACTGAAGAATACCCAATAACCACCACAGGGAGGAAAGCAAATTTCATAGCTCCTTGAAGCAAAATATAGTTAACCAGATACCAACAAGGTAAATACTACAGCTGATTGCCAGCATAACAACTTAGACCTTTACATAGCAATGGAAATACAAATTTTATTCTCGTTGAGAAGATCTAATTTTTTTTGTTTTTCAAATTGAGAAGGAAAAGGAAGGGGCATGGCGGCATGGCAAAGATTAGATGAGCTAAACTTTGTAGGAGGATATTGACTATAAAAGCTGAGAATTCCAGCCAAAAGAAGCCGAAAAAATTATGCAGTTGCATAAGGAAAGTAAGTCCTTTTGTCACCGAAAATCAGTAATGAAACTCCTTAACGCTGGGTGTATTAAAGAGCAAGCATTACTTTATTCGGCGCCGGCTGCATGGGGGATCTCTCTGCCTAGCATGCATACCGTATGTTGCATCAACCATCCCTTATATGGTTCTTCAATATACATATGCATCACATTTCTTGGAATAATCATACATTTTCATTACATTTCCCAGAACTAATTATAGTTCTTTCACACATGCGTTTTGAATCCTTTAGGAGCTTCTACAGGGGTCTTGGGTGGTTTCTAGTGGTCTCTGGTGGTCTCTGCAGGAGGTGAACTTTTCCTTACATAGTCACAAATTGGCCCATCACCACCCTTTGTTACAGTTCTGGTTGTCTTTGTCTGGTTTCTGCTAGTTCTTATCTATCTCAGGATGTGCTCCTTAGCTTAGGCCTTGTATGCTTGACATATGCTTCATTAATCCAGCTGTTTATCTCGCAACTATTCACAACAATTCCCCCCTTTGAGACTTCCAAGATCTTTTTCTTGGGAGTCTCATAACTCATGTTCATAGTAATACATGTTCTGTTCGGGAGTTCTACATAAGACTTTACAACATTGAGTGACTGAAGGTACATCCAGGTATCACTGTTATGATACAGTGACACTGTATCATAACACAACACAATGTACATATTACTACTATTCCCACTATAACTAAAAACATTTCCCTGAGCCACTGTAGCTTGGGTAACCAGGAGGTGAGCCAATACCTGTTCCCCCAGGGTTTTTCTTTTGTTTTTTTGCATTCTTGCACAGCCCTCTCAATTGATGATATTCCGGATTGTTGAATCTTAAAATCATCCTCTATATAACTGCAGCACTCTTTCCCTATGACATATGCTTCATAATCCAGCTGTTTATCTCGCAACTATTCACAACAATTCCCCCCTTTGAGGCTTCCAAGATCTTTTTCTTGGGAGTCTCATAACTCATGTTCATAGTAATACATGTTCTGTTCGGGAGTTCTACATAAGACTTTACAACATTGAGTGACTGAAGGTACATCCAGGTATCACTGTTATGATACAGTGACACTGTATCATAACACAACACAATGTACATATTACTACTATTCCCACTATAACTAAAAACATTTCCCTGAGCCACTGTAGCTTGGGTAACCAGGAGGTGAGCCAATACCTGTTCCCCCAGGGTTTTTCTTTTGTTTTTTTGCATTCTTGCACAGCCCTCTCAATTGATGATATTCCGGATTGTTGAATCTTAAAATCATCCTCTATATAACTGCAGCACTCTTTCCCTATGATAGCATAAGTACCTCCTTGACTGACTAATATGTAATCTAAAGCCATTCTGTTTTGTAAAGTCATCATCCTGACTTGCAGTAGTTCAAATGAAGTGCTATTTAACACTTTAACAGTGTCATTGGCCAATTGTTCAACTAAAGTGCTCAACTTATTTGTATATGTTCCATACTTTCCGGCTGCACACGTGGGGCACATTACATACAAGAACCTATTCCCCTCACTAATTACTGGTTGATCGCTTATGTCTATCATCCTTCTATGTCTAGGGTGTCCTTCAAGTAAAGTTTTTGTAACTCTAAAGGGTGGGATTAATATTCCCATATAACAGGAACCATACCATTCAGGAGGAAGCCATTTGTATGCACTGTCTCCACATATCCAATAGGTTCCGGAATTGGCAATTAAAGATGCCTTCCCTTCACTCCACAGTTTACTTGTAGATGGAAGTATATAAACATCAAACTGGTCTGATGTGCTGTTTGGATGGAGGAACTGTATGGTGGCATTTTGGGTAGGTGTTATATAATACTTACAAGTACTGTTTCCAGCTTTCCATGGTTGTTTCCGGGAATCATTTTTGTTTATACTGAAGCACTCAAACCCTTGCTCTCTATGGGTTTGTACTAATATGGCTGAGGTTTTTCAGTGGGGTGATAATTTGTCTGATCACTAAAGTTGATCATACTTTGATTTACTATCTGGGTACAGTTTTGAAACACTACATCAGATGCAGTCATGTTTTGTTTTGTTAACCAAAAGGAACACATTTCAGGCCAACTTAAGGGGATGACTTTCCAAGGAAATCCTGTCCCTCCTGTCATTACTTGTGAACATATCCAACAATCAGTCATATTCACCACCTTTGCAAAGCTTATCTTTAAATTCTCATAGGTATTTTCATGTCCAACCCCATCAATAACAGCGGACCCTTTTAATACACTCCACCCTAGAATGTACAACACAAAAAGCATCATTGTCCCTTTGTCAGTTTTACCCGTAGACCTTCTGCCGATTTTGTTTTCCACTGAGGTTCATCTGGTTCTGGAGCTGGTTTTGTCTGAGTGAAATGTACCCACAAGTTAGTTTGGTCTACCTTTACTGCTGTATGGGTAGTCAGAAGAACTTGCAGAGGTCCCTTCCATTTCTCTTTTAGTGGTTCATTGCCTCAGGTTCAGATGTATACCCAGTCTCCTGGATGATAGGGATGTACCTGGATGTCCAAAGTTATTGGAGAAGATAAAACAAAAAATAAATGTAAAGATGAAAGTATCCTCCCTGGAGATATTACATACTCCTTTAAATCATGATTTCCTTTTACTTGGTTTTCCCCAGGAATGATGGTAACTTGATAAGGTCTCCCATAGAGGGTCTCATATGGGTTCACTTTTTCCTTGGAATTTGGCTGAATTCTAACTCTCAATAAGGCCAGCGGAAGAGCCCGTGGCCATTTAAGTGATGTTTCCTGACAAATTTTACTCATCTGTCTTTTTGGACTCTGATTCATTCTTTCAACCTTCCCACTGGATTGTGGCCTCCATGGGGTGTGTAAATCCCACCTGATCCCTAACATTTTAGATAAGTTCTGTACGATTTCTGCTATGAAATGTGGTCCTCTATCTGAAGACATTCCGAAGGGAACCCCAAATCGGGGTATTATTTCTTTCAATAACACCTTAGTAACTTCCCTAGCTTTGTTGGTGTGACAGGGAAAGGCTTCAGGCCATCCAGAAAATGTATCAACTAGAACCAACAAATACCGGTATCCTTCTTGTCAAGGTAACTCAGCAAAATCTATCTGCCAGTAGTCTCCAGGACTATTTCCCTTTTTTATAATCTCTAAGGGGTGTTTTTTATAGGAATGTGGATTATTTTGTAAGCAAATTGCACACTTACCCACTATACTCTTAACAATTCCTGTCATCCTTACGCTAAGTACCTGATCTTTTAAGGCATTTACAATAGCTTCTGCACCCCAATGTGTTGCTTTATGTTTGTCTTCGGCCAATTGTCTCATTATTGCCTGGGTTACTATCACTTGTCTATCTGCTGTTATCCACCATCCTTCAGGGTTTAGATGGGCTTTTAATAGTTTGGCCAATTGGTTATCTTGGCTCTGATATTCCGGGGTTACATTTGGGAGGTTCACATACCTCGATGGGGCAACAGTCAGGATGCTTTCCTCTGCTATCTCTTCTGCTATTTTCTCCACTAATTGGTTCCCTATATTAGTTGATGTTTGTCTAGACTGATGGGCTTTACAACGCATTATGACTACTTCTACCAGTAGCTGAACACTGTCCAACAGTTGTTTAATTATATCCCCACACTTGATAGGAGATCCCTGTGCAGATAGCAGTTCTCTCTCTTTCCATATAGCTCCATGGGTGTGTACTACCCCAAATGCATACTTGGAATCAGTCCATATGTTGACTTTTTTATACTTAGATAGTTCTAAGGCTCTTTGGAGTGCCATTAATTCTGCTTTTTGAGCTGATGTGTTCCCAGGTAGCGGACGAGCTTCCACAACTTCAGTCCGAGTCACGACCGCATAACCAGTCATTTGTTTCCCTTGATGCACAAAACTGCTTCCGTCTGTGAACAGTTCACAGTCAGGGTTCTCTATCAGGGTGTCTTTTCTTTCTGTTCCCAAGCTCTGTTCTCCTTGTGATATGATAAATCCCAAGTATAAGACTTGAGCCTTCGCTATTTGCGCCTTCTTCCTTGACACACGGTAGCCAGCCTGCCCTAGGAAATTTAACAAGCTGATAGTTGAATGAATACATTCCTCCCGTGTGGATGTGGCAACCAAAATATTGTCCACATAAGAGAGGAGAGTTGGAGCTTCATTTTCCTTCTTCCACACTTCTAATTCTTTTGCTAATTGATTTCCGAACAACATGGGACTGTTTTTAAAACCTTGGGGCAACACAGTCCAGGTAAGTTGTGTTTTTCAACCTCTCCTAGGACTTTCCCATTCAAATGCGAACAATGCCTGACTTCCTGCCTCTATAGGTATGCAGAAGAAAGCATCCTTTAAATCTAAGACTGTGAACCACTTATCATTCTCCTTGATCGTAGTCAATAGAATATATGGATTGGCTATGACAGGGTGTATATCCTGCACTGTCTGACTGATAGCCCTAAGATCTTGTAGCAGCCTATTTTCATCTGAATGAGATTTCTTTACTGGCAAAATAGGCGTATTATAGACTGATTGGCATTCTACTAGCAATCCATACTGTACAAAGTTATTAATCATTTTTTCCAATCCCCTTCTTACTTCCAATTTTAAAGGATATTGTTTTTGTTTTACTGGTCTGGCGTTAGGTTTTAGTTGTATTCTTACTGGTTCCACTGCTCGTGATTTCCCTGGGATTTTGGTGGCCCAAACCAGCGGAGTGACGGCATTCTCTACCTCCTCTGGAATCCCTTCTTCTGCCTTGGGTTGCTGTAACATAAAAACCTGGGCTTCCAGGGCTTTACTTTCTGGAATATGGACTTGTACTCGCCCATTTTCAAAAGTTATTTGTGCGTTCAGTTTACTCAGGACAGCCCTTCCTCATAACGGCATTGGGCATTCAGGCATGTATAAGAATTGATGCGTCAACCATCGCTTGCCTATTTTAAATTTTAATGGCTGGGAAAACGGCCTGTTTCCCCCTTTCCCTGTGGCACCAACTACATTTACGGTAGCTTGACCAAAACTCCCTTTACAAGTATTTAAAAATCTAAAGTCAACAGATCAGGGGTAGTTCCACTAACTCTCCTCCCTCGCGGACACTCTCGTTTCCAGTGTCCCTTTTCCTTGCAAATAGCACATTGATCCTTATCCAGAGGTTGCTGCTAGAATCTGTTTCCTCCAGCACTTCCCCGACCTCTCCCCCCATACCCTACTCCTCATAATCTTTGTTCTGTTAGTGCAGCAATCAGCTTCCTTTCCCGATTCCTCTCAATAACCTCCCTGTTGTTATGCACCTTCCAAGCGGCTTCTAATAATCTGTTAAGGTTCCTGGAATCTTCTCCCTCTAATCTCTGAAGCTTCTTCCTGATATCTGGTGCAGATTGTCCTACAAAGTAACAAGTTGCAAAGCATCCCCTTCCTTTTCAGGATCTAGGTTTGTGTACTTCCGAGCTGCAGACATTAATCACTCATGAAAGTCAGAGGGAGATTCTTCCCTCTCTTGTATCACCTGATACAATTTGGACAGATTAATAGCTTTTGGAATAGTGTGCTTTATACCGAACACTATCAATCTCTGGTAGCTGGTCAATAATTTGCGTTGAGCTGGGTTGTTAGGATCCCATCGGGGATCCACAGGTGGAAAGTGGTCATTCACAGTTCCTGGTTGGGCATTCTGAGCATGTAATCTTTCTGCCTCTTCTTTAGCTTTAGCTAATACCATTGTTCTCTCATCTAGAGTTAATAAAGTATCTAACACCACCTGTATATCGATCCAATCTGGGTCCTGGGTTCGGACTATGGTCTCAAATATTTTTGTTACCTTCTCTGGATCTTCTCTATATGTCCCTGCCAATTCCTTCCAGGACCTTAAATCAATTACTGAAAATAGAACTTTAATGGTAACTGACCCATTATTCCCAACTGCTTGCTGGAGAGGTGCTTGAAGTGCCTCCCCCCTTTTTGCATCACAATGTTCCATTCTCCTCCTAGTTCTCCTGGCTATGGGGCTAAAATCCTTTTCTTCATCTGTATTTGACTCATCTTCCTGCTTTCTCCCTGACCTCTCTTGCCTTTGTGACTCCCACCTCCTTTGCCCTGGGGCCACTAGTAAGTTTACGTCCTCTTCTTCTGACTTTCCGTACTTAACACACCACTTTCCAATACTACAAGCAGAACAACTTCTCCTTAGTTTCTTTCCCTGATCCTTCTCTAAAGCCAGAACTGTAGGATTGTTTGGCATTAAACAACAATCTTTCTGCCATTCTGGTCGATTTTGCAATGTAAAGAACAAATCAACATAAGGCACTTCATTCCATTTCCCTTCATGACAGCAAAACAACATTAATTGTAATATAGTATTATACTTCAAAGTCCCATTCTTTGGCCATTTTTCTTGGTCTTCCAAAATACACAGTGGCCACCAATGATTACAATATTCAATCAATTGCTTCCGTGTGTGTGGGTCATTCCCAACATCCTTCCAGTGCTTTAATAAACATCCCAGAGGTGACTTTTTCAAGATTGCCCCTTCTGAAGATTGTCCAGAACCCATGATACAACAATTACAGTCAACAATTACCGATGATTAGCAATATCAGACACTTTCACACACCCACACACTCACACACCCTTCCATGGCTGGCACTCCGAGCGTCCCCGTGATAATGTGCAAACAAACCTTCCCTTTAACGGGTTTTCCCTTATACCTTCCCTTCCATGGCTGGCACTCTGGGTGTCCCTACAATAACATGCAAACAAGCCTTCCTTTTAACCCCTGTAACCCAATCCGGTGGGAATTTTCTTCCCCGACTTACGGACAGGTTCCCTTATAAGTAATGCCTTATAATCCCAGGGGTTCTTGTACTGAACTCACCGGATCAGGGGTCTGGAGGATCTCCCCCAAAAAAAGACTTTGGTGGCACTGGAGCCCTCTCAATCCCGAGAATCCATTGAGTGTCAGATGTGTTTTCCCATCTGGGTCACCAAATTGTCCGCCCAAAAATCAGGAATGAAACTCCTTAACACTGGGTGTATTAAAGAGCAGGCATTACTTTATTCGGCGCCGGCTGCATGGGGGATCTCTTTTTTGATTTGGTGACACTTTTTTGATTAATCTTACTGGAATCTATATTGCATCTGTGTGGGATCAGTGGAGTAATGGTCCATAGAGGTCAGCAGAGACAGACATTTTCTCCAATGACTGCCAGTAAGACTGTAAGCTCCCAGGTGTGTAATAAGATACCGGAGTATAGATTTAAACTTCAAGGTCCACACACAGGTTTTGCTTCCAATCAGGTCACAGTGGTCTTGACCTCTCATAGAAGATTAAAAAAAAACCCAAGAAATGTTAAAAGTTTATTCCTCACCCTGTGTAGCCCCGTGATTAGAGTAACTAGTTAGGAATCTGATTTCCATCCTTGCTTTGCTTTACTGTAGGGAAACACTTTCAGGAGTGTCCAAGTGTTTAGGTTTCAAAATATTCTGGGAAAGTTTTGTTTGGGTGGCATTTGTTGAATCTGGGACTAGAGAATTAGGAAGAAGGAAGACTGTTGTGTTCTGAGGAACTTTTTAAATAATAATAATAATAATTAGTAATTAATTTATAATTATACCAATTCTATGTTATTTAGATAATTATTAATATAGTGTAATTTTTAACTGAAGATCTGCTCTTTTCTGAAGTAAAGCCCTCTGAACTTCACTGCTCAAGTTTCATACTGCTTCAGATAATGAAAACTTTCTGTGGGTGAGGTTTTTCATAAAGATGTTATTGCTAGAATTAAAATTACTCAACAATCTTCATTTTTCAAGTTACTGAACTAGTTTATTACTTTAGTCAGGAAAGGAAGTAGTGATCACTTTCAATGAATTACAATATCAACAATACCACCTGTTGTGTAATTTTTTTAGTAAATTTTACAGTGATCTGCTTTACAAAGTTGTATTAAAATAATATAAAAAAGCTAAAAACTGAATAGTGATTGCTTTTTTCTTGATTATAGCTTTTAATACTCTGTAATCAACTGAGAATACAGCTGTGTTGGCACACTACCAGTCACATCTGTCTTGTTAATGAAACAAACTATGGAAACCTTTCCAGTTTTCTTGTTCCAGTTTGAAAAACAAAGGAGAACAATAGATGCTCCAAATAACATTGAGCTGTTGTATGATTTTTTTAAAAGCTTCCATCACATGAACATAATGTTACAAGATGAATTGTTAAGTTGTGACATTGCATTTCAAATTAATTCTGTTCTATGGAAAATGTAATTACACTTTTTTTTTTTTTCCTTTTCCGAGTAAGAATAGATTTCATAAGCAAGAAAATGGGCAAAAAATTGTCAGTGTTAGAAACCATTGCACTAAGACCATATTGAAAAACCCAGTAGCTCTAAGACCTATTATATTTCATACCTCTCAAGCAGTAAGGGGCTAATAAGGGGAAATCCTGATCCGCAGTTCATTCAAGACAATAAGAATGTTCCCACTGACTTCATTTTTCTTGGATGAGAACCCTTTAAATAAGATATCTCTCAGATTTCTATATGTATAAATATTGAACATTAAAATAAAGTTGCCATTATACTTATTGCAATTATAGTAAAATAGGAAGGGATTTGATGGCTTTCAAAGTTGACTTCATATTTGGCATCACCCACATTTGAGAGCCCAGTGTTCTATACACTGGTAGATAACTTCAGTGTCATGTTGTCATTGCTGAATCAGGTAACTGGGCATACCGCCCACAAAGTATGAATAAAAAACTCTGTATATGAGCTCAGCATTAAGCAGCTGTAGAGTGGACCTTTTCTTAGGAAAAAGGAGAAAATCCTTTATGCACAGTTATTTTCATGAAAAAAATCCGTACTTATTCCTTGTTCCAAATTAAAGTCTACACAGACTATATTTGCTGTGTTGTTATTTTGGGGGTGTTGTAGTACTAGATCCATTATTCTGGCACAAATTACTGCTGAATACACACTTTCCAAACTTTTTATGTGAACAGAACATCTAAAGAATATTTAATATTGGAAATATCATCCTAATCATCCTAATAATATTAAAAATTATACAGAAAGCATTTAATTATAAGGTAATGAATTGCAGTGCCAAATAACTCGGTGCTGTAAACCAAATTATTGTGAACTATGTAAATTTCCTTTTGGTTTTCATTGTTTCAGTGTTTCTAACAAAAATATGCCTCATGAAGTGAAAGGAAAGGGTTAAAATTATATTACCAACATCTTACGCATTATCTCTTTCTTTGCAGTTCTTAATATATTCTTGAAAATTATTTGTAGGGAAGAATTCAGATGACAGAAGGCTGAGCAGATGGTCATTTCCAACTTCATAGTTCCAGAAAAAGCAAGGGCTTTCATTGTTGCTGACATCTGAAGTTGATGCAAGAAGATGCCTACCATGACAGACGAACAATGTAACAGTAGTCAGCCCCATGATCAAGCAGCTTGGCACTTGGTGACAGCAGTTTTTCCGTGTGTTGAAATCAAAAGAAAAATTAAACCGAAACCATATGACTGCTGAGAAATCTGTTAATTTACTTCCCTTTTTCTGTTATCATTTTTTTGCTTTCAGAAATGAACAAACCCACCAAAAGTATGTTTCTGTTTGACAGAGAAAAAAAAGAGAAACGTTACAACCAAAAATTTGTCATCATGTGACCCATATTCGTAGATCTGAAATTGCAGTAAAAGACTTGTACAGAAAATATTTCCTTAATATTCCAAGTTAAAGTTTTGTCAATGGCTTACCTTCAAACACAACTGAGTATAAAACCATACCCTATTACCAAGAATGTTTTAAATAATGCCTTAATATCTAGTATTTAAGAGGCAGTACTGCACTCCTCCCTTTTAAAGGTGAGGATTGTGTTTTACATTGGAACAAGGGATCCCACCATCCTAAACACCTACAACTTGACACAACAACACATGAACAATAGCTAGGACAATATTATTTCCTCTCTTTCTCACCAAAGCATAATAAAGATTTTATTACTACCACAATGAATACCTGATAAGCAGAATCTCACCTTATCTACAATCCTCTTAACTACTTTCTGATATATGCTCGAGAACTGTTATGGAGGTGACAACTTCTCTCTCACTCAAAGCTTTAATATGAATTAGATTATTGTGGACAAACAGCCATATGCAAAGGATTACAGAGGTGGCAGCAGCTATTCAC